GTCACAGGTGAGAAAGACAAAGAAAGTCTCAACCCATTTATTTTCAAGTTTTTCGGTAACTGACCACAGGTGAAATAATATTTCAGTTAAAAATTGGCAGTTTAAAGTCGATTGTGTTCTGGAGAAACAAAACGGGCAAAAATACCAATTAGAGACAAGCACTTTCTGCCCACCGGGATTTCACGGGGGCTTTACGATAATACAGATTTGTGCAGTTTAAAAAAATTGGCTCGGGTGCTTTGTGAAAAAAATCCTGCAAACTTGTGATATTTTTTATTATACAAGCGAGTCCCAGTAAATCAATCTTCAATGGCCTGGTGTTACGAATACTTTCAATAATGACATTAGGAAATCCTTTAACTACAAATCCTGCAACTCTGACAAAACAAACAAAAACTGAAATTTAAAATGCGTTTCTCAAATTGAGTGGAACGTTGACAACAAATGTTGGGCTCAAAACTTGCTTTGAATTTTGAACGCAAATTTTTATCCTAGAACGAATCATACTTGGTTTTTAAGTCAATCAAAGCTTACGCCAAAACTACTGGTTCACTAATTCTATCAAAGGAAACCTCTAATATAGCCCAACACAATATAACAAGGGTTTAATCTTCTTAAATTTGTGTTTTTGTCGCCTTTATAGGAACCAAAACTTCCAAACTTGAAAAAAAAATTTTGTTACTGTGTGATTTTTTTTGATTTTTTTTTAAATATTGTCGATTTTTGAAAAAATATTGTTCGTAAGAAATTGGTCGCAACCTTTTGTGCTATTTGCACAGTAACCGGTTGCAATTGTTTGATATTTCGATTATTGAGATAGTTTAATGCATTTGACTTTGAATCATGCTTTGATTATTAATCCAATTGAAACTGAATGATAAAACCTGAAAGAAATAGTTACGGTCCTTAAAAATTATTGCGCTAGTTGGTGGTGCTTTCGTCTTCCTTCATTTGACCTTATGAAAACCTTTCAGTTGTTGTCTCAGAGCGCAGTATTTATGTTAATTCGTTTGTGCAGTTTAACAAATTTTGCCACTCTTTCCCTGAACGCTTATGTCACATAAATACGCTGTTACTTGACGGGTTGTTAAAGGGGTAAACGGTAGCCGGTCAACGAGCACAATTTTCCGGTGTATTTAGTGATGTTTTTGGGGTAAACGTTTGGGCCCCCAATGTTGGCAAAATCGGTTTCAAATTTAAGTTGGGCCCAAAGCTTGGCATAGCATTCGTTCTGTTAAAATTCCTAATAGTTTCAAATATCCTATTATTTCAAATATCCTAATATTTTCATATATGAAAATTGTATGATAAGCATTTTGCTATAGAAAAAACAAAATCTTCAAAATTCATTTAACAAAGTTCCTGAATGAATTTAAATGAGTTTTTAAAAAAATTTATTGAAAAAATGCATTTTGACCCTCAAAAACATGATTTTAATTTTGGTCAAAAAAAGCTTATCATTTAATTTTCATAAATGAAAAAATATGATATGCATTTTTTCATAAGCAAAAACACAAATTTGAGGTGAAAATTTTTTTATCCCTTTTTTGGTTGCAAACTTACATGCAAAATTTGACTTTTTGTGTTTATAAGGTAGTCCAGGATGAGTTTTTCACCAAAAAATCCAAAAGTCACAAAAAGTGTTTTTTTTTGTGAACACGATTAATTTTTTATTTCATTTGTTAAGATAAAATTCAATTTGTAAAGAAAGGCCTTTTTTTCTCATCAACTACCAAAATTTTCAAACAAAAAATTATCTAGCTATATACAAAAAGTTTTTTTTTGGTAGATAATGCCATATGAAAATGTTAAAATTAACGTAGCTGGCAAAAATCACCAAATGCAGTTTATCTGCGTGTTAACTGCCAGTTACACTCTGGGTTTTCCTATAACAAAAAGTCCAGGTTAGTGTTTCGGATGAAAACACAAAATTTCAAAACAAATATTTTTGGTATTTTCATTTATGATAAATTGCTGGTCATAAAATTTCATAGTTTGGAAAAAATGCCTATCATAATATATTATGCTTATCATGCTATTTTTATAGTATTTTTTTGTCTATGAAGTAGTATGATAAGCATTTTTTTCATAATATGAAATGGTATGATAAGCATTTTTTTCATAATATGAAATGGTATGATAAGCATTTTTTTTCCATAATATGAAATGGTATGATAAGCATTTTTTTCATATTATGAAATGGTATGATAAGCATTTTTTTCATAATATGAAATGGTATGGTAAGCGTTTTTTGTCAACCCGGGAAGTCACTGTTCGCAGATAACCTTTTTTCGTTTGCGCTAATCGGGGACGCATTTTTTGTGTCTGCGAAGACTGCATCAACTGAACTTTGGCAAAGATAGTCTGAACTTTGATTTTATGCAGTTCATAAATTGAATAAACTTTAGACTTGAAGTAGGCGAGCGCGAATCATCCTAGGCATCGACGTGTCCAACTGCTGTAAAGTTGATAAAAGATTGATGCTGTAAATTCTAGTAACTCAGATCTCAACATATAACCTTGGGTAGCTTCCTTGGGTGTTTTCTGATTTAACATAAGAGAATCCTGGATACTAACTATTCGATGGTCGTCCTAGCAGAAGATAACTTGCTATCAGGGGCGCGTTAACGCAGGGCTTTGTTGTCGCACGGCGTGAGCTCAGCATGGCTTCAGCTCCATATATGAAGAAGATAGACCAAGCTTCGAATTCTCAATTTTTTGTTGCAATTACTATGAAACAAAGCATCGTTGATTGTTTTTAGAAAGCGTTACCCCTAATTTTGCGGAATGAAGAGCTGCTAGAAGGTTTGAAATTCCTTGTTATTCGAAGCAACTGATTCGAAAGTTTGTGGTTCTCTGTTTTAAAAAAATCCCCTGTAAATCTTTGTCGGCTGTAGTAACCTCTTTTCCATAGTCGGTGAAGATGAAATAGGGTGACCTCTTCTCGCCTTGAGACGACGGATGATTTGCAGGTGGAACCTGTGTCGTTTTTTTTGGCAATTTTACGAAGGCACATTACGTTATTAAGAGACATGGGACGAAAAAAAATTCGCCTGCAGCATTTGACAAGGTTTGGTCTATTAAGGGGATCGGAAAAGTCGAGCACTTAACTCGTTTTTGCAATAAAAGATCAAAAATGTGAAAAGAAATTTTTGAAAGAAACTGAATGGAAAAACTTTTCCTTGGTTTCATTGATCGAAATCCGAGTTAGTTGGATTCCATTTCATCTCCTTAACTAAGTTTGACTTTCTTTTAATGGGAATTCGACTTACCGGCTGAATTATTTGAATGTTGAAAAAGTTTTTGATTCAGCGACCCCTGATTAAGTTAATTTGACTGATAATTTGGCTCATGTGATTAAACTGTCAAACTGGTCGCAACTCGCGGTAGATTTTATGACTTCTGATTAATTGAGACAAAAAACCCAAGAACCAGGACGCGGGTAGCTTGATAATTTCGGCAATCTGACCTATCGGCACTTCCGCAGGTCACCAACACGCCATCACCCCGAGTGAAGCCTGAGAGGTCTTTAGACCAAATGGTCCGTTATTTTCAAATGACTCCCCGCACGGACAAAAATGGTTTCGGATCGATTTAAATTGATTTTAAATCGATTTTAAATCGATCCAAATCAGTTAATAATGTACATTTTACGAAATTAAATGATTTTTAAATCGATTTAAATCGATTTTTTTTGAAAATTTTAAATCGATTTAAGTGTCTAAAAAATCGATTTAAATCGATTTGGATGGATTTTCCGACTCATGAAAATCCATCCGAAACTCACTTAAATCCAGTTTAAATCGATTTAAATCGATCTTTTTGAAAATTTCAAATCGAATTAAATGTCTAAAAAATCGACTTAAATCGATTTTGATGGATTTTCAGACCCACTAAAATCAATTTTTTTGCTAACAAAGCGAAAAAAACACTCTTTAAAAAATTGTTGAATTTTTTATTCTCGATTTTTTAAATATAAACACTCGTGCCATATGTTATAAAATTCAATAAAAATATCCACATAAATCAGATTTCAAGCTCGAAAATAGGCAATGTAATTATAGAAAATTATTGTAAATCCTATGTAACAAACAAGAAAAAAGTCAGAAAAAACTAAAATTTGATCTCATAAATATGCAATTAAATCATGAAAAAATTTGAAGATAAATCAGATTTCGGGCAAAACTTCGGATAAAACGAATGAAGAAAAGGATCATTGTAGATCAGGGCTCTTTTTCATTTCCCCCCACCTCACACAAACATGAATTTTATGGTCTAACGAGTAGTTTTACAAGGTTAATTATGAGGATTAAATATGTTTGTTATGGCCTAATCAGTCTGCATGTCAATTTTTATGACAATCGGACAAAGTGAACAGTAATTTCAAATTGAAAAAATTGCAGGTGGGGGGGGGGGGGAGGAAAAAGAGCCTAGATCAGTTTTTGAACTCAAAATATCAAGAAAATTGAAAAATTTTATCGATATTTTTGTCTTTTCGTTTGGTCTTTTTTATGCTACAATACACTATGGATGTAAAATGAAAAATGATAGGCAATAAATAAATGCAATAAAAATTCGAAACTGATAAATCTCGAATGAAAAAGATCGATTTAACTCGATTTAAATCCGTTTTAATCCTCTTAAAAATAAAAACAAATTCAGACTGAAAAAGTGCATTTAAATTGATTTAAAATCGATTTGGCTCAATTTTTTTAGCTGGGATTTAAGATCAATTTAAATCGATTTTAAACAATCTTCATCTTTTTTATTTAATCTTCGCACTTTTTTCATACTAAAATTGATCTAAATTTAATCATCGTACTTTTTTCATACTAAAATCGATCTAAATTTAATCAACGTACTTTTTCATATCAAAATCGATCCTAATCCATTTTTGTCAGTGCGGGTCTGTTGCGAGTTCTCGAATCATTCAGTTTTGATCAGATTTTCGAAATTTGTTTCAAATTGAGTAATAATAAGAAATGTACAAAAACATCGGTTGGTGAATTATAAAATAAAAACTTTGTTGAAAGCATGCACAATTAAAAACAATAAAATTACATTCGCAGTAGACACGCACGAGGAAGTGATATCTAGTTGTTTTGCAAAAGAACAATTCGAGCACATCTGCTCACACGGTGGACACGTGAAATATCTCGTAGGACAGTCGGAATTTCCGCCAATCAAAACGGTTTCCCTATCATGATCGCAAGTCGCCTGCAAACTTGGGATCTGATACGAATTGCCAAAGCACAAAACCGTCTCGCAAGAACTTTTGATCTTTTGTGAAAAAACTTCGTGGTCGTTTCTTAAAGCTTCGCATTCTGAAGTGATTTCAGGAGACTCAACACACCGAATATTTACTTCTAATGGTTGTTTTTCCAATTTATCGATATAGTTCTGTTCCGCCCAGGAACAAATGTCTTCGCTGGGTCCTAGAATCGGGCAATAGTCAGAGTAAAAGCTTCCGGCTACTTTCTCGTTTCCAAAACGGGTAAAATTGTGTTCCACATCTGATTCATAAAATCTCAACTGACATTGAACTTGTGCTCTTTTGTTGTCTGTACATTTCCTATAATTTACTCTGTTTTTAAAATCTTGTGGGGAACAGAAATTTTCTGGGTAAAATTTGGTTAACTCAGGGCAACTTTTCTCTTCCAAAATTTTGCATCCAGCGTTTTTTCCAAATGTCATTGGTTCTGCTAGATCGTAATTGGGAACATACCAACCGAGATCTTCGAATAACGCCATAGTGAAAGTTGAAAATTTAGGCTTGAAATTGGTTGGCAAAGTCTGGTCAAATATACTCATTGACATGATTTCTTCGGGGAGGAATCTCTGCTCCCAGTGGTTTCCAGGAATCTTCTGGTTTCCAGGAATCTTCTGGTTTCTGAAGTTTCTTGGGTCTATGTCGTTCTGGTCCTCAAGTTCTATGAACTGAATCTTGTCACAACCGAAGTAAGATCTAGAAACTTCTAGAAGCTTGGGGGTGGTGAGTTGGTAGACTCGTTTGTTGTCTACAATCTTTGAGTTGTAAATTTGGCTAGAAGGAAGGAAGAAGTAAGGGTTGGTATTCAGTCTTTCCCACGGGAGACGTTCTTCGTTCGTCTCAGGGTACCTGAAAAGTGCATCAATTTCTACCGATTATCTTGAAAAACTACTATAAATTAAGCAACGAGCCCAAATTAATCTCCTGGTTGCAAGTTTCAAAATATCAAGTCGAAAAAAAGCCGATTCAAATCTCTTCCAATTCTCGGATTTTCTCAAAAGATAAGACAACAAAAACCAAATCAACTTTTTTGGAACTAATATATTTCGTAGAGTACTGTTATAAACGCAAACTCTTGAATTCGTTTTTAGATCTGATATTGAGACAAGTTATACTTAGACAAACGATAATTAAACCTGATATTCAGATCTGACAGATAAAATGTACTCACTTCTCATAGGAGAATCCATTTACAGTCGGGCTCAGCCCGATTATATTTAGAGAAAAGCCCAACATGTGACACAGACTATGTTTGACCTGGGCGAGCATGATGTCATAGTTCATCGACCCCTCCTCCAGCGCCAAAACATTGAAGCTCAAAAAACCCGCAATTGGTCGATAAGTTGTCAAATCCAGTTGACAGAAGGCATTCTCCGAGACTACGAAACGACTCGAAGGGTCTTTGACTACGTCTACGAACAACACAAAGTCGGCATCACTCGGCTGAGGGTCTTCGTTCGGGTTTTCGTCGTAAGGTTCCAGGGTTAGAATTTGGTCCTCGAAGTACTGTTCCATGCAATCGGACATCATGTGGGTTGGGATCTCGATGCGAGGTCCACAGAAGGTCTTGGCACCACACCTTTGAGGACAAGCAGATACTATAGGATCTATACTGGCATAAATTGGACCTTTTCCTGAAAAAAAAAGAAAAAAAAATATTTAACAATATACTTGAAGAAAATTTAAAAATCAATAGCACGAACCGCAGTAATTTAGATATCTAATCATAAAACTGAATAATGACTCATATCTTATTATAACTTACTTTAACTTTGTTATCACAAACACTCATGATTGCCAATTGCTTGGCGAAAAGCAAGGTCACAAAAAAAAACTTTTTTCAATGTGTTCGAATCTCGACATAAAAAAAGCTTCAATATGGAGTATCAGTTACTATTTGAATTTTTTTTATTGCCTGATTTCAAATTCAAAGATTTTGGTTATCTTCTCTGAGCGGAAAAAAAATGTAAAGCAAAGTTTTTTTTCTGAAAAATTCTGTAATCAATTTTTTTTAAATAAGGAATACAGCGTGACTTGTCATTAAAAAACAGTGACATTGTGAACTAACAAAAAAAGGGCAGGTTGTATAAAAGCGCCGAACGTTACGTTTACGTCATTTATATTCACCCCAGCGGATTCAGGGGGGGGATTGGGTTGGACGCCGCTTTCTCAGGGATTCGACCACCTGCCGACCCAAAAGGTCCCCCTTTGCACTATTTTCAGATATCCACTTTTGGCCGACGGACCCTAAAATTTTTCCATTAGCGTCAGTATATACTAATTTTGAGGGGGGAGCGCGGACCAAAAAAACGCCATTTTTTGGTCAAAACTTTCAAAAAAAAGTGCCTAAAAACGCCTTTTTTGGCCTGTTTTTTCAAAAATTTGCCTGCGGTGCAAAAAATTTGGTCAAAGTGGGGTCTTTATAATAATAATAATAATAAATTGTTTCCAAACGATATCTAGTTACAAAGTTATTTATAAAAATTTATAAACACAAATTAGAATCGTTCGGGAGAACACCATTAAGCCAACAAGGCCCGTTTTCAGGTGTCTCATTTATAGTGATCAGGGAGAGGTCACAAAATCAATTTGGTCGATCTAAGAAACAAAATAAGATCGACAAAATTTTTGAATTTTTTTTTTAAATCCCCTCCTTTTGAAAAAATTCTAGATCCGCCCCTGTATGTTGATATGGGCATGATTTTGAATGTTTTTATTTCAGAATTATTGAATGTGAGAGTTTGCAATCAAATTCTTAAGAATAGATTTTAGGCAAAACATATTGGAATATGAAAACAATCGCCTCCCCAAATTCAAATGAGGCGGATAAGTTCACTTGGCTGTAATCTTACTTGAGCGTGTCTTAAATTTGTTCACTTGGTCGATGTACGCTCAAGGACCGGGTTATTGTTCAACTTATTGTTACTGTACAAAGTCAGACCAGCTAGCATATCATTTGGTCTGCATACAGATTTTTTTTAGCTTGAAGTATATTTTTTTTCTTCCGACTAGCGAGAAGAGGATAAAATAGGTGCGCAACTGATATATGTGGGTTTTTCTTCAAAAAATCGACTACTTAAGCTGCAATTTTTGACGGATTTTTGTTATAAAGTGCTGATTAAAATTAACCGGACAAAACGAACAAACCTTGAACTTTCAAACACGTTTTTCTCAAATTGGGTTAAGATTAAACAAAAAGTGAACAGAACAAAAGTTGCTTAGATTGCACCAGAATTAAAATGCATTTTTAAACGAAATTCTCAACCGAAATTTTAACCCAAGAATGGGTCGTTTTGACTTTTTTAAAAAATCAAAAATTACGCTGAAATAACTTTGTTAATTGGTGAGGGATATTTATCACAAGAAGCCTCTTATATAGCCCACAAAGTTCTAGAAGAGTTAAATCTCTAAAAACCTGTATAAGAGAAAATATTTTTTGCTTGATAGTCGAGAAACGTGTTATTTACTACATAGTACCCAAAATCTTTGCTTAGAAACAAATTTCAAACAATTTACTGAAAATTTTGGAGACCTAAACATTTTGGAACTTTGTTGGGCTGTGTAAGATGCTTCTTGTGATTTTTATTCTTCATCAATTAACAAAGTAGTTTCAGCATAACTTTTGAATAATTGAAAGAAAAAACCAAAATGACCCATTTTTGGGGTAAAGTTTTGGTTGAGAGTTTTGTAGAAAAATTGCACCATATTAATTCTGATGAAATTCTGAGCAACTTTTGTTCTCGTCGCTTTTTGTCTAATTTTAACCCATTTTGAGCAAAAAAGTGATTGAAAAATCAAGTTTTATTCTTTTTGTCCGGATAGTTTAAATCATAGCACTGTATCATCGGAAAACATTGAATGCTTAAGCTCAAAACTGAAAAATATTTCATCTGTGATAGTTCGCATGAAGTTATAGGGGCTTAAAAACTGCCAGTTTGAACAAATAAGGCCTACTTAATGTGCGATATACTCGATATACTTAATGTGCAAATAAAATATATGTTGAATTCTGTTCAGAAATTGTTCCAATTTCAACTGAGGCAATCTATTTGGTTTTATCAAAAATATACAATTCGCTAAACGCATTCCTTGTACTTTACATAATGGTTGAAGAGAAAACACTCGGAAAAATTGAATGAAGTCAATTTGAAATTTTGTCGGGATGTTTAACGCCTCCTCCTTGTACGAGCAGTCTTTTCTTCTGCTTAAAACATTTCTGTTAATTTTTTTCTTTCAGAGTTAGAGAAAAAATAATTGGGTAAAAAGTATCTGAATCAAATGCAAATAAACCCCGGAATATTGAATAAGATTCTAACCAACTGCAATTTGAATATGTGTTGTTACTTGTTATAAGATGTTTGACAAATAGTTTCCACTGCAATTTACTAAAACATCAAAAACAAAGATATTTTTTGGTAGATCTGTTAAAAAGGCTGCGTGAGAGCTCAAATTGAAAACGCTTAAATTATAGCAATCCGTCATTGATCTAAGCTGTGCATGATAAGCTAATGGTTGATCCTAATCAGCTTGACCACTTTAGCGTCCCGTAAAATTTGTTTCAGGGACTGGCAAATAAGAACTTGAAGCGACAATTTGTCTCAAACTGGGGCTATTTTTATGGGCAAAGAACCAAATGGGCAAAAAACTCGTGGGCGAAGGAAGGAAAACAAAAAATTAAAAGTTAATTATTAAAATAAATCAATAGCTACTCATCTAATTTTTTTTCACAAATAGGTATGCTCAAAATGACCACTTGGTTAAATATACATGTTGCTAGAAAATGAATTTATTAATATAAATTGAAAATCTCTAACTACACCGGCATGTAAAAATACAAGTGCAGCTTGCGTAAATATGAATGTGACAGTACTATTTAGTAGAAAAATAATCTCGTAAAAAATAATCTCGAACAGAACTGATGGATCTATCAATATGATTTTTTCGTGTATTTCTATCAAAAACTTTTCAAGTTCAAATTTAGATTCGATTTAAAATTTAATTTTTTTCAGCTTTACGTTAATATTATTCCACTTTTCAAAGCTATTTTTGGTACTGATTTCTTGTCCCAGTTTGTGTTTAGAAACTTATTTTGGTTTAGTTTTTTTTGTAGGTTCGTTTAATTTCACAGGTACTCTGTTATAGATAAACTGCCATCCAACTTCATTTTATTTGTCGGAATATTTTTACCACATCTAGTCAAACTATATTGTTGGGTAATGAATATTTCGGCTGGTAAAGACTTTAAAGTAGATCACGTATTTTCTGGAGAAATAACACACTTTAAAGGAATTGAAGGAAGCAAAATTTTGCTTCTTCTTTTTTATTAAACACGTCAAAAAAATCACCGGCGGTCAGTGATAATTTGAAAGTTTTCCATAATTCTGCTGCTTTTATATTCGGCCATTTGTAATTTTAAGTTCCTAGAAATGTTTACTTTTTCTCGCTTTCGTTCCAAATCTTGGAATACTGAAAAATGATTGGCTGTTTTTTATTTTCGCCCAATAGGTACGTCGCCTATGAGGAATTCTACCGTCTCAAGCAACAGTTTGTCACAAATGACAGTTTGTAGTATTTGAAAAAGCGACAATTCTTCACAGAGCAATTTTCCATTTTAATTGTGTAACCAGTTTGAATTTATTTGATTTAGCAATGTACAACAACCCAACTGCCTTGCTTTAGGGGGCGTGGGACTCGATAAGCCGTGCTAAATAAGACGACCAGCTATTTAGATTCTGCTATACACAATTTTTGTTCAAAACTTTAATTATTATAAAATAAATAATAAAATAAAATAAATAAAAACAGGTCTATCTGCTTTCGCAATTCAAATTGTCGCACCCCGGTTATGTACGGGTAGGTTGAACCAAATTTTTCACAACCTGTTTTTATCTGTGCTACAAAATCAGTATTTAAAGGTCCGCGGCTTTCAGCTGATATATTTTGGGGGTGGGGGATTGATGCAAATTTTTTTTGCAGACTACAATTAACTTTCAGAGATTTCCTTTAAGCAAATCAAACGCTCGAAAATGGAAATATTCAGATTTTTTTTCTGTCTAAACATAAAGGAGGACAAAATCTTGCTACAAATATTCAATTTAGATTTGAGAAAGACAAAAAATTAAGTGGATGTCATTGTTCTACTGACTCCAATTGCGCAGGCAGATAATTGACAAAATTACAACAGAATTTACAAAAAATACTTCAAATTCTATCTAACCACAACCACAATCATAGCAAATTTTCCAGCGCCAAAAATTTAGGAATTAAGCGAAACTCAAAAAATCCGGCAATACCAGTAAAAACGATTTACGAACAACATAAAAAACTGAAATCAGGAGTCAAAAACTGCAACCAATAATGTTGGATTCAATGTATGTGTTTGAAAATATCACTTTTCAGGAAATTTTTTTTTGCAAAATTCAGTTTTTTATATCGTGAAAGTTGTTAGTCACTTTCGTAACCACTCCCCTTCTGCGTTGTCAGAAGTAGAGTAGTTTTGTGTTTGCGAGAAGGGCAGTTTTGAGTGGCAGCAGCTTTCGCAATTCAAATTGTCGCACCCCGGTTATGTACGGGTAGGTTGAACCAAATTTTTCAAAACCTGTTTTTATCTGTGCTACAAAATCAGTATTTAAAGGTCCGCGGCTTTCAGCTGATATATTTTGGGGGTGGGGGATTGATACAAAAGTGAAAAAATTAAATTAAAAAGTTCAAAGTAAAAAAAAACAATTCAACTCATTTCAACAATTGCCCCCTCGCGTTCAACCACTATCTGCCTTACGTTTAATACCATGAGTGGATTTAGGGAAAGCGGGCGGGAGGAGTTACGGATGCCTTTCTGCCCAGGGTTTTGACCCCCTCACCATTCAAAAGGTCTATTTGGTACTTTTTTACGAGATCCATTTTTAGCCAACCGACTCCTAAATTTTCCTAATTTTTCGGTCAGAACGCAATTTTTTGGTCAACGCCTTCCAAAAAGTGCCTTAAAAAGGCTTTGTTGGCCTGTTTGAAAATACCTCCCTCCTCGAGCAGTTTCTTGAGGGAGCGGAGGAAGAAATTCTCTAGAAGGGTACTTTTTTAGGTCGATCTAACATATTCTGATATTATGCGCTAATTGCAGTGCCACTTTTTTGTTTTCTAGCCGACGTTTCCACTTGAGTTTTTCGCTTGCATGCCTATAAAGGAGAAGTTGTTTTCTTACTGTTATTGGCTTATTTTTGCTCTAAGGTCCCATTTCGGAATTTTGATTTTAAAAAGTCGATAAAACTTTAATTTACTTGCTGCTTAAGAATACCTGGGTTGATTCACCTAAATTGTAAGTTTTTGGATGAATTTAGCTCGGAAATCAGTGTCGCAAAATGTCGCGGATGGTACAACCATAGAATGTCTTTCATTCCCAGATGTTTGGCAAGTCAAAATATTGAATGATAAAAAAGAAAAGAAGAGAATTAATGAAAAGGGAAACTGCTATGCCATCTGTTTAATTTGCTCTTACTTTTTGCCATTTTGTCCAATTTAGAGTAAAATATGTTCAAATTGTTTTTTTTCAAAAGTTCGATTTAAAAACAACGTTGTTCAAGTTGATGCTACTTTTGTCAGATATGGCGTTGAAAAAGTATATTACAAACTAAAAATTGAAGTTGAATGTTTGACCTGATGATTACTAACCATTAGTGTATTCGCAAGTTCTCGACAGCAAAATGCCTTCTTTTTTCACCGGATTCTTCAGGCTCATCACACTCTTATAGAACTCCACAGCGTCGTTGACCAACTTTTCAACACTCTTTTTGATCTCCTCGGAATTGTCTGTTCCCACTGCCGAGTCGAACATGAACTTGGGCATGATTTTAAATCCGCGCGAGCTACTCGGCTCCTCGGCCGAGTCTCGCCAGAGAGTGTCGGCTCTCGGCATTGTGGTAACATTAAGGAACAGCTGCGAGTCACAATTGACTGATTTAAAGATCGAGGAAGTAAACAAAATCGCGGAAAGAAACATCAAAAAGTTTGAAATAATATCCATTTTTACTACTCCATTGTAAAACTCGAATAAATTTTAAAAAGATCGAAACATAAAGCGTGTAAGTTGATACAAAAAATCAAAGATTGGCAGTTTCGCGAGTAAATTTGTAAGGCAATTGCAGAGACTTAAAATGTTTGTCAATAAAATTTAGCCACTGCACCTCAAACATAAAATCAAATACCTGGGCTGTAATCAATTCTGTTATATAATTTTTAATATATTGAAAAGGCTGGAAAACAACATGATCAAAAAATTTTCATAAAAAGGAATCATATGGAATGCATTTTCCAAAAATGTGTATTGTACGTAGTTTTTTTTTGAGATCCGCTTTGAAATGTTCTTTAAGCACAATGAAATATGTGAAAATATGTCCACAACTGGTTGTAGAAATACAAAAATTGTCAGAAGATAAAAACATAACTCAACTCGGAGCACATATATTCCGTTACTTTCTCCAAAAGCCAAAACAGTTCGAGTTTAAACGAAAGAGTCCTCAATTATCACACATTTGATTCAATGCCTACTTATCTGAACTTATATGGCAGGAAAAAGTCAGTGGATATTTGAAGAAAAACGCACACGAGAAGATAAAACATGATTGAAAAAATCACAAAATAGTTGCGACGCAATTTTCAGCACCACTACTGGAAAATTCCAACAGTTAAGAACGCGGTCAATTTATGGATTCACATGGAGCCAAAATTATCTATCCAGTTCTCTTCGCTATTTTTATGTTATAAACACTTTTTTTGCGCCCTCTCAGAGTCAGGGAGTTCAATTATACATCTCTAGAAAAGTTGGATATGTGAATAAATTCAAATTGTCATAAAAACCGGAAAAAAACATGGTTATGTGGCCTTTTTTCCATGGGCAAATTCAATTTGTTTATCCACAGGTATAAATCCATCAACACAACACAGACTGGTTTCGCTCCATTTTTCATATATGTATAAGGAAAAATATGCATCATTAGTTAAACTTAATGTAATTTTTGGAAAAATTGAACGCATTGGTAGTGAGGTAGATCTAAATTATTACAAGAGTAGACGGTGGAAGCGTAGACACATATTAAAGCCTTTCCAGTCGGGAGCAAAAATCCAAAAATCAGAAAAGTTATCAAGCCAGTGTCGAGAAAAAATGGTCTGCTTTTTTTCGTTTTTCAGACTGAATTTGATAAGAGGCCGACTCCTCAATTGAAATATACTCAACTTTAACGTTATTTTATGAAATAATTACCACTCATTAGCACTCATTTTTACGCCTACTTCAATGAATTTTTCAGGAAAAAATTGGACGAAAAAACTGAAAGAAAAAAATGTTCAAATTTTTTTAAATTTTTTTTAAGTTCTCTAATTTTTTTCAATCAAGCGATTGGAGCCTATTCTTCTATTAGCAGAGCAAGCTAACCTTGTTGTCTCGATTTTTGACAAAAGTAAGCGATATACTTTTGGAGTGGTTGATTTATTGAGACCAATGGGAGGTACTGTACCAAGACATGAAATTTGCCGATTTCTCAAAGCTCTGTACAAATAAATCGCACAACATATAATGGAGGAGATTTTTTCTAACGAAACCGGAAATTTTAGAGGACCGTTTTCTTTCATTGAGATCTAAGGGTTCCGCGGCTAAAATTTTTTTAGTAGAACGTCATCAAATAACATTTTTTAGATCAAAAGTTTCAATCTCATTTGCCATACAAAATAAGAGCAAAAATGGCAGATTCTAAAAGTTTTAAGAAATTTTTGTTCTGACAATTTGAAAAATGGGGAGGAAATTTGTATATGGCTGTATTTTAGTTTTTTCTTTTTTCTTTTTTTTTGTTTTCCATACAAAATCAGCTAACACAAACAAATAATCATCCGAGAGATTTGAATGATATCTCATATTAACGCTATTTCAGTCGTGATCCGAACAACACAAAAATACTTCGAGAAAATTTACCCACCATCGACAAAAAGCGGTTTGAAGTTTTTGGTTTTCGTTTAAATTCAAGCAAGTAAAGCGATCGAGCAAGCTTATTTATTGTCAAAAAATTCGAGAAAGTTAAAAAAAATAGACCATGGTAAAAGAACACCCAATTTTGGCCGAGAGAGCCGAAATATAGGTCGAGCCATACACCATTTTTATACTAACAGATGAAAACATGTCGAGCAGAAGCGTACCGAGGGGTAGGGACTGCCGCCACAACGCTCGCTTGTATTTTGGTAACCAAATTTTTCCAAGAAACCCTTTTTTGTTATATTGTGCGACAACCATTTCGATTTTTGGTCGAGAAATTTTCGCAAAATAAAGATCTTTCAGTCGTGATTCGAAAAAAGTGGTTTGAAATTTTTGGTTTTCGTTTAAATTCGAGCAAGTAAAGCGATCAAGCAAGCAAATAATTATCGGAGAAAGTTCAGTACCTATGAGCTGTTTCCTTATTTTACTTTGACTGAAGAATATGGCTAAATTAAATTTTTACGTCAGATCATTTTATCAAACCAAGCAGAAAAAACTACACTAATTTGAAAAAAATTTTTTGTTTGTAGTTTTTTAAAGATTATGGTCGGAAAATTCTGTGCTACTTGCACAGTAACCGGCTATCCTGATTTATTGTCGGGAATTTCGAGAAAGTTAAAACAAAGGTTGAAGACGGTAAAAAATACCCAATTTTGGTCGAGACAGTCGAAACATAGGTCGAGGCACATATCATTTTTAATACTAACAAATGAGAACATGTCGAGCAGTGTCGAAAACAACACGTCTCGAATGATATTAGAAAAACTCTGTCAAAAGTTGCTAGTTTAAAAGTCGATGTCTGCCTGGAGAAAAAAATTAACCCAAGCACAAATATTCCACCGTCTTTTTCAAAAATAGTTGGATCAAAAATCAGGTTTTTTTTAAAACTTTGCTCTCTTTTGATATCCCAAATCCAGACGCATTCTGATCGTAAAACATTTATTTTTTCTTAAGTGATTTCAAGCATTCAATTCACTTACTTGGAATATACACAATATCGGTGAACGATTAGGTATAAATTGAGAATGGAAATAACGTAAGATCAACTTCGACATCAAGCTTCCACATCTGTAATACGTTCTGCAATATAACTTTTTTAGAGCTGTAAACACGTCGAGTTATCGGGGGATTTGGTGGTAACTTTCACATTTCGATCAGTTCAAACGATGGGAAAATTGGCGATAAAACGAAGTCTGATTTACTCATTTCCTCAATTGAAATTGGTAATCCGGACTTTAAATTTTTGCGAGCTACGTTGTCATTCCATTCATTTCCTCAGTTCAAATTGGTATAATCCTGACCTAAGTTTTTTTTATATTTTTGCAGGCTACCTTTTTCTCTCTTATTTTTGTTCTGATTTTAGTGGAACTCTTATTTGTAAATAAAGCAAGCTCAAAGTGTGTTTTGAGGAGGCTGTAGATAGTTCGGCGCCTGGCGCGCTGGAACGGAAAAAATTCCCGGTACGAATAACTGGTTGGTATATTTACGTAATGGCTTTTATTTATGGAACACTGGATAGAATGAAAGGGAAAAACGAGGTCTGCATATGTCAGTAGGGAAAAATAAGAGACCTATGTTTGCATAATGAAATCATCCCTGAACAAATTATTCACCTAAGCAAACATGTCGGTGATTTAAAATGTTCATCACGAAAACAAAAGTGCAGCTACTTAAAATTGCTTCATAATTTCATCAGATTAGATTCAATGGACTATGATCACACTTTGAAGCCCCAATTTTCCTCAGAAATTCGAATATCTGATCACTTGAAGGTTCTTACCTGTGGTACTATTTAACGAAGTTCGTCGACCAACTTTAAATTTTTTAAAGGAAACCTTCGGCATAAACATACACTGAGTTTGAGGGGACAATATGTACAAAAAAAAGCATTTTTTGGTTGTAAAAAACTTCTACAAACCGCAAAACGATCTCGGCAAAATAGGGTTTTTTGTGCTATCGGAGTGACTTCAGAAATCAATTAGGTCGACGTAAAAACATCGATATAGTTTTTGAATTTGTTTTTTCATTGAATTCCCCGTCAGAAACCATTTTTACACACTATCTGATTGTTCGGTTGAATTTTTGATTATGGTTTTCAAAAAGAGAGGGGCATTGTATTCCTTTTGGCTCAATTATTGAGTTTTCTAAACTAGTTTCACCAAGTTTTTTTTTTTCATTTTTAATGAACCGTTCTAATTATAGCTACTTATAACTTTCAACGATACTGTTTATTTTGCCATATTTAACCAAGGTAATCACTTCGTTCCCGTCGTACTTAAATGGCATGTTACACTTTATAGCCACCAGTTTTGATAAATATTTATAAACTGTTAAAAAAATTGAAAACTATTATCAATATTTTCTTATTACCTCCCCACGCCGAATGTAATATTCAATAGAGTGTCTTAATTGAACTTGGACAGAACTAAACTTTGCTGGAAACGAACTATAACTTTGAGGTATTATGCACTGCACGGCCCCAGAACAAAAATGAGATCAAAATATGTAAATTTGCAAACGTTCAAATTCGACTACCATTTTTTGAATAGCTTTAACCCATCTCCAGAAAAAAAAATTTAATATTTGTTTTGCTTTTTAAATCAGAAGTTAAACAAAAAATTGTTGACGCTTTTTGAAATTGCTGAAAAAGGCTGAAAGTTTGTCAACATTTCTATATCTGCTTGAAATGTTAATTGAATTGCCTGTTGCTTGAATTTGAAGTCCAACATGTAGACCTTAGTTTCAGTCCAACACGTAGAAGTTTGGGCAATTTAGAGCATAATACCCCCACTTTTGAAACACAATTCCATCAATTTAGTTCGAAAACTAAAATTATAAGTTTCTGCTTTCAAATAAAATGATAACCCAGCCGACTATATTCTCGAATTGAGGTCAGTCGATCTATTCTATGATTTTGTTACAAGAAATACCTATCGTTTTATCAGTTCTGGTTCCCACGTTCGCAGTAACTTAACGGAATAATTGGGTTAGCAGTGTTTTTCCCCAGATACACGTTGACAATCCAAACAGCAGTGGTTAAAAGGGCTGATTTATAGGAATTTGACAACAGCAAAATATTTATATGTTTCTCGTGATGTTAAACGGGTTTGAACATTAGTGCTTTGATAAATTTGATGTATTGCTGTAAATGGCTACAAATATTTTTATCTAAAACTCACAACGCGTAAAATTTGAATGAGTTCTCATCGAATTAATTGGCTACTAGGTGAAAATGATATCGCATAGTACTTGGTGTTGCTTCAGGGGTGGGAAAGTCAACGAAAAAACTTTATTGGAACATTATCTTGAAAGTATTCTTGAAAAGAGAAAATTTGGAGCAAGAGAACTAAGAATACTTAGGCCTCGCGCTCATCGAGTAATATTCTTACTTTTGTACATAAGCCCAACGATATTACGTAAATCGATTTTGAAAACAGATTTTTTCAGGTTCACTCTTCTAACAGCTTTATTTTCCCCTTCAGAAAAAATTGATTATTTTGGTTGAGAGAGTCGTTTTTACAGTACCGCACCGCATTAACAGACTTAAATTTCGCTGGCTCAGCAAATGTTTTGAGTTATCGCTCTGTAAATTGGTTGAAAATGAAGAAGAATCAATCCTTCTCATTGACAATTATCTATGACCGTGTTTAAATCATCGCGGATTCAGCTATAAAAAAGCAGGCCTGAATAAGCACCGAGTCATCCCTGATTAAACGTTAAATTTTTAGGATTAGCGTTGAATCATTTTTGAGCCAGCGCTGATTTTCAGTCTTTTCAAAACAGTTCGAAGAAAAAAATCCCCACGAGGATTGAACCCACAATCTGTAGCTTTGCTCCACGTAAGAAAAAATGATATCAAAAAGTTATAAAAAAATTAATGAAAGCGAAGCATATGGAACCTGATCTAAACTACATTTTATTATTGGATAAATTAGATATTTTACCACTGTAAAATATTTAATATTAACCAATCATAATCCATCTAACTAACAACCGACTTATTTGTAAGTGCTGAAATTACTTGTAATTTCAGCACCAGAGAGATTTGAATTTAACTTAGAAATTAGCTACCTCTCCAAGAGAACTAAAGCAGTTGCAATAAGCCAGTATACTCTAGATCTATTGAGCCTAGCAGAAACTAGTTAAAAACCCTGAGACTAGTAGATATAAGAGTAAGATTAGGATCGGTATTAGAGTAAGAAGTTGCACGAATCTATCCGGCCGAAAATAAGATAGCGTGACGAGCAGACGGTGTACCCTATCCGAAATTACTCTATGAGTTAACCTCAAGGACCTAACTATTCTGGTGCGACCATAAGTCTCGCATAAAGACCTTAATATCTTAGAATTAACCAAAATTGATTAGAAAATAGACAAAACATTTTCAAAATGTTACACGACAATAACTTAATTGAAAAGTCTCTACGACTCAATAGATATGAGCCGCTATTCCGCACAATACGAGAACTACCCGGTATTGGAAAAAGACCTCGGACAAGAGACGACATACGGCTACATAGAAACTTACCATTTAGTTTCATGGTTGTACGGCGAAAGCCAATACAAACTTTTATATTTATAATTTTATTAGCAATGAATTTAGATTTTCATTTGCAAACATAAAATCCTTGAAGGAAAGCTTCAACGATTATTTCAGGCGCTAAACAAAATTACTATTGCACAATAACGATTGATAAAAACATCTCAAATCGTTCCCTCAACTTCTGCAGTATTATATAAAACATATTTGAAAAATATTTATTGAAAAAAAAAATTAGTAGCATGACAATAAATTGTTAGTATATATAAATCATCCTGTTGTTCCAGCTTCATCACCTAAACATAACAGCAATCCTAAATTAACTAATACCATCAAAAACTAAAACCTTTTACAAAAATTTAAATTAATCTAAACCTAATCTTATTTAATCTTAAATCAGATCATCAAGGCTTTCCTTGGATCTAAATAAACTTTCTATTTTATCAATTTAAAATAAAAATTCTGATCATCAAGGCTTATCCTTGGATCAAAAAGAACAATTTTGTTCTCCCTCACTCACTTATCAAGTGTCCAACGACCTCAAATGTTGATTCACTACCAAACCTTTTCAAAAGACCCAATACTAATAGAAATTTTTTCATCACGCTAACCATTCAAATTAGGCTAAACAGTGAAGAACTTCGGCTATTCATCCTTCACTTGAACCCTCCTCTTATCTGACTCAGGATAAATCATAAACTTAGTAAGTTTAAAATTGTATCTAACGAACTACTTGTGTTCTAATTATACCTGAGACTTGTGGATTAAGTAAGATTAAGTAAATTAACACCTCAACTTAGACTAGCCACGAGAAAGTAAAAATCATTTTTTGGAATCGATATACTTTTCTTTCCAACCCTGAACAAAAAGACCCAGCTTAAGCTAACCAAAAAATCGTAAGGACTAACAGTCTAGGAAATTAAAATCACTAATACCTCCTTGCATCCCTCATCCTAAACTTTATGTCATTAAAAAAATTAGGAAAGAAACAAACAATCGTTTTACACAATTGTGAAATAGACAACCAAAAATACGATCTTGTAATAACCCCACATACACAAACAGTTGGATACATCCGAACAAAACGACAAACAATAAAAAGAAAAGTTATAAGTAAACAAAGACAGATAACACGAAAAAGATTTTCCAAAAAAAGAAATGCATTTTCCGAATTAGAAGCCAGTAGTCTAGACGCACTATATAAATAAAAGAATCAGTAAATAAAAATTGCCCCATCCTTGATCAGTTATATTTTTCCGATTCAGAAACAACTTCAAACTCATCAAAAAGAGGAAAAAGAAGAATAAAAAAGCAATATAAACACAAACCAGTACATCTATACAATTGGAATCAACCAATTAGACATATTGATAATTATATATTAACAGTCATCAAACGAAAAAATGAGCAACACTCAGAGTGACGAAAGTCCAGATGAAGAAGCAATTTTTCCCTGTCTTATAAACTCACTCAGTGATAGAGGACAAACACGATTTTGTAAAAACCTACTCGTAAATTTGTTTGAACCAGGAATCAGTCCATGCAAAGCAGAATTCCCGGATATAAAAATCAAAAGACAATTTAAAGAACATTATTTGAAAGACATATGTAACCTAACACAACAATACGGAATCTACACCATAGAATTCAGCACACCACGAACAATTCATGATAAATATGTAATCCAAACAGACGATATTGATTTAGAATTTTCAAAAGTATTCACAGAATATATCAAAAGCATACAATATCAAAATTCACAGAGAGCAAACTCCATATTCACCAACGAAGTTTTTGCAATAATATATAGTTTTATATCTATTATAGAAAAAACAGAAGCTCAAAGTACATCACCAACCCAAACATCCAAACATACAAAAGTAAGAAACATACAAAAGTCTCACAAAACACTAAACATGCGGATATCTCAAGTCAGGCAATAAGTACAATATCTTTTCAC